CAGCACAGGGAATTACAGATACTGTGATTCCACCTATGGAATTAAAAAGCACCCCCTCTGAAAAGCTGAGAGAGGGGCTCCTGTTATGGATCTCACTGCTCCAATCAGCAAATGCTGTGCAGTGTCAAGAGTCAAATGATAGCATTAAATATATAATTGTTAAAATTCTGTTTATTCAGAAAACATAATGGTTCTTTAAAGTGCTAAATAAATAAATCATTGCCTGCAGGGGACTGAGAGTTTCAGGTGTCCAGGTAATTTATACACCTGGAGCTCGTCAGTCAGCACGGCTGCCTTGGCAATGGCCACACCTGGGTTCAGTGTTTATATGGAATTACAGATCCAGGCTGCAAGTTAGAAATGGCTTTGGGTTTGAAGTGAGAATCTGCCCTGATCTGCAGTTCAGTGTCCACTGGTGACTGCAGGGCCCCAGCCAGGGCAGGTCCCACACGTACTTCCCACATCTGTCGAAGTGGATGGACACAGGAACGCTCGTGGCTTCGGAAAACGCCAGCAGGCCCTGCAGAGAAGGGTAGGGGTGAAGTGCTTGTTAAACCCAAACACTGATATTGGAATATAATTTTATCCCAGTTGCTGTTTACTGGCAAAAAGAGGAGAAAAGTCTGCTGCTTCTAAGAATAATTTCTGTGCTTCCCTGCCAGAGCTTTGCCAGAGGAGGTTCTGCATGGAGAACTTCCCTGGTCACGATGCTTTCCCAGCACAGAAACCTCGTCTCTGTTTCAGAAGTGTTTTGTTTGCCTTTCACAGGATCCTGGGGTTTAAAGCTAAACCTCAGCCAGGTGGTGAAACCCTGCTGCTGTCAGGAGGGCTGGTGGGGCACAGCCCAGGGCCATTCCACAGGGACCATCCTGTGTTGTCCTGGTCCAGTCAGGCAAATTAATGAGAAATGGGTTTTCTTCCCAGACAAACTCTTACTTTACCCTCAATTCTTTAAGGCAAAATGTCACTTCAGAATCCACTCCGACTTGAAAGTAGTCAAATTCCTCTGGGCTGAGTTGTATCTCAGTAAGCATTGTCCTTGAAAAGTCTGTTTGAGATAACAACAAAGTCAGGGACTCACAGCAGTGAAGTTTGAACTCAGCAAAGCTGTGATTGTAACCCTGAGGTTTTTACACAAGCATTGTTTGAACAAATAGTTGTGGTTTTATAGCAGTCAAAAGTAATAAATATTTAGCTTATATGCATACTAGAAGTAAGTAAAATCCTCAATTTATTTGCAGTACCTTGTGTAGATTTGAATGGATTTCAACAGAACCTATTCCATGTTCTGCAGTGTAATCTGACCTAACACCTGCTGCTGTTCTTGCAGATCTGCTTCTTCCACAGGCATCCATCACAAATAATATTCCCAGCTGCATATTGTTGCATGGATGGGAAGCCCAAAATGCAGCGTGACTTGAAGAGATTAATCAAAATTACCGCCAATCACCGAGCACAATGGAGGTGGACAGAGGCTCTTTGTTTTAAATTACAATCTTTTCCTGACACAGGAAAGTGGCAACAGGAAATTGGCTGTTCAGTTTCAGGTATTCGGTTTTTTGCTACCATGAGATTACTCCGTGGCTCTCAATGGGTGTGTGAAGAGAAAGTGAGAGGGCAATTTCCTGGCGTGTGACAGTCCCGGGGAGCTCAGAGAAATTCCACAGCAGCTTGAGCTGCTCCCAGCCAGGCCAGGCTGCTGAGGAAGTGCTCCAGGCTATTCCCACTCTTCCCTTTCTCTGCTCTCTGCTTTATCTCCCAGAGTTCAAACAGGCTCTTGTAAGAAGCTCCCTGTGGCTGTGGCAGGGGAGGGGTTCAAAGCACACAGAGGTGCTGCAGGCAGGGAGATTCACCCGAGCACAGCACCTCTCACTGCCCCCCTCCCTTCCCTCACTGGCCCTTGGTAGCTCTTTACAATTGTAGCTTTTTTTCACTTTTTTTCTTACAATAGTCCTGGTAAGTGAATGTTTCTAAAGTCACCAAATGTGTCATTCAAAATGTAATCTCTTTTTTCTCAGGAATTTCTGCCCTGTTTCACTCCAGCCAGTTTCTGCCACTTGATCCTTCTCTTAAGCCTGTTCCCAGCCCAATTCCCAGCTCTGGGCTCTTCCCAGGTCATTCTCCTCAGCTTTGGTCACAACAAGTATGGAAAGCATCTCTTTATTATATGATACACAAGAACCTCTACTTCAAAACCACAATTACATCTTCAAAATTAGTTTGAGTCACACCACAAGAATCTCCAGCTCATTTTCTACCTCCTGGAGATGTGACCATGGCATAACAGTGCAGGTCTTGCTGACACTCTGTGCTGTCCTCAGACTAAAATATACTCTCTAATGATATCAATTCTATAATTGTGGTGTTCAGATTTAAAGAGTTCTTTTTAAAACATAAAATTATCCCCTTTTTCCTGGCAGTTGCCAGGCTGCTGCTCTTGCAGCACGGTAATTACCTCTTTCAAAGCCTACAGCAAGTGGCATAATTTATTTCAATTGGCTGCTTAATCTGAGATCTGCCACTGACACCAGGAAGATGTTTCAATTTATTTAAATTTATTTAATTTATTAAAACCAGCGGGTGGCAGCATGACTTTAAATCTCTCTCTATAATGTTCTGTTAAAAATGTCATTCAGCCACAAAATTGATCCCACATTTATGTCGTGACAGTTATTATTCCTGGCGTTCACCTCAAAAACAAAAAGTTAAAAGCCCAAGTATTGGTTCACGTTTTGAATTTCCTTACCAGTGTCTTCCTCAGTATAACTCTTGAAACAAACTTTCATTGGAGTTATTGACAAGGTTATTTCTTCCTGACTGGTTGGGAAGTGGATCATCACATCAGCCAGCAGCCTATAAAATGTCATTCAACACAAAAATATTTCTATCTTTGACTATTTAGCATTTGTTACATTAGAAAGTAAAACTCAAAAAGAAAGTTCTGTGTTTGTTACCTGGAGTGGACTTTAAGAATGTTTGGACACATATGCTTTGCAAAAACAGCCTGCAAGGGATCACACTCCTGAAATGTCAGGTTATAGGTTTTGACAACACCTGAGTATGAAGGAAATTAATCAAAATCAGTTATTGGCTGTAATTTTAGGGGTTTGTTTTTTGGTTTTTTTTTAATATTTATTGTTCAATAGAGGAAGTAACCAAGTGACTTAATCCAGCTATATGGAAATAACTCACTACAAGCAGGAAAAGGAATCCACCTGCCCTCTTAGCCTCCCTCCATCCCATTAGCTGTGCTGGACAGCATCTGAGTTTTTTAAGGATCCACAAGAAATAAACCAACAAATGCAAGGCGTGAAATAACCTCAGAAATTAACTGGTAAAATAACATAAATGGGAGTGGAATGCCCTTCTGTCTGCAGACCTAATTCAATGTATTATCCTGAATCAGTAACCCCAGCTGGATTATTGATAATGCAAACCACTGCCTGCAGCACAGCTCAGCTCTGTGGGGGGAGATGATGTTTATTCAGGAATTTTGCAAAGACTGATGCTGATGAACATTCCCAGTCCTGCTGGGCTGAGGATGACAGACCTGTGTTGATAATGACATTAATTGTTGTGGTTCTAAACTGCCCTGTGCCCTTACCGTGCCTGCAGAGCAGCTGAAAGGTGATGTGGTGCTCACTGGGGCTGGTGGAGATGCTGCATTTCTCTACATTCCTTTCCAGCACATTCACACATCTAAACACAGGGAGAACGGACTGAAAAAAAAAATCAAAATCCAAAAAATCAGTGCAGAGGTTACTCCCTGAGCAGGTTTGCAATAAATACAATTTCCCTGGGTTTGTACCCTGGTTTATCTCAAGCTGCTGCTCTTAAGGCTTCCCCAAACTGCTCTGGGGACACTGGGAGAGCCCAGGCTGATCCTCACCCGTGATAATTTCAGCTGGAAATTGGGTTAATTTGCTGCTGTGTGTAACAACTCGCTAAAATGTACCTTAATTATCAATTTACAGGGGAGGGATAACTGCTTCTCCTTCTGGCAGGACTGGGACACAGCTGTCCAGCAGTAATGCTGGAAAAACATGGATGAGAAGAACACGCATGCATATGCTGACCTCGAGGAATTCACTGATCTTAAGGCAAGCTGGAAATGGAATCACAGAGTCATTAGGGTTGGAAAAGACCTCCAACATCATGAATCCAACCACTGAGGGAACAGAAGTAAAACAATTTATTTACTCAAAACTTGAACATTTTAAAAAGAGCCTCCTGTGGGCTTCAGTGCCACCAGCAAACCTGGAAAGTTACATCTCAGAATGATTTTAAAAATTTAAATATACATTTTTATCTGATAGTATTTTTAAAATAAAAATAATTGAGTTACCCAAACACCCAGAGCTCAGCTTGTATTTGAGGCATTTGAGGGACAGATGAGCAAAAACACCACTCACACCCCAAAAATTCTCCAGGTATAAAACCAAATATCTGCCCTTGTGATTTTCCATCCTCCCAGTGAGCCAAGGGGAGCTGATCACTTTTAACTAAGAAACCTCTGGAGAAAACACTAATTCTGCTGGAAATGGTGTTTGATTAATCAGAGGCATTAATGGATGTGTTCTTCCTGTTGAGTCACAACAGTACAAAACATGTTGTTTTTAGAGGCAGCTCCTGTGTGGTACAAAACTCAAACCTTGTGACCTGTGACAAAAGAACTGAACCTCGTGACATTAATCCAGATATCCTGGACAATTAAAAAATCAAAGTATCTCAGGGCAGAGTGGGAATGAAATCTTCCATGATGGAATCTGCATAATTAAAATCACAGAAAATATGGCATTTGTCCATATTGAAAGTAGAGGGAGCTGAGAATGTGATGGACTGAAAGGTACCTGTACAAAACCACAATATCCAATAGTATAAATACTGGGCTTATAATAAAGATTCTTAAATTAGAATAGATAAACTTCACTTACACCTTTTTCTACGGGGTCAAACCAAAATTCATCACTAATCCGTGCTATGGCATGTATTGCTCTTCCAAACACTGCCAGGGAAAGAAAACACTGCAATATGCATTCCAAATTAAAATAAAAAGGTGGCACCGCACCTTCTCCAGAGTAATCCAAGAAGAAGCATTACAAATTTGTTATACATTTAAAAGAAAATGGATGGTGCAAACTGTTACTTTTTCTTTTTAATTAAAATTTTAATTATCCAAACCCTCAAAGTTTTGGAAAGCTGCCTCTGATGAGGCACCTCGGATGTCGCGCGTCCCTTTGCAGCACCTGGAGTTAACCACAAATTAAATCAATCAGACAAAACTCCACCACCGGGGCTAGAAATGACATTTAGCAGATGGAAAGCCTGAGAAGCAAGGAGAGATGGAACCCTAAGAACCACAGGGAAGCCCAGCAGAGGCTGCGGATCTGCCCGCGGCAGCGGCGGAGCCGCTTTCCCCGCAGAACGGCGCGGCCGGGAGCCGAGCTGAGCCGAGCCGAGCCGAGCTGAGCCGAGCCGAGCCTCTGGAGGCGCACAGGGGGGACGGACCCGGGTCACGGCATCTCCCGTGGGTGTCCCCACACCCTGCACGTCTGAACGAGCCCCGCACACCGCCCGAGCCCGCCGGGACGAGGGAGAGGCGGGTGCCCCGCTCCGCTCCCGGGGCTCGCGTTCCGCTCAGGGCCGTGCCGGGTGCCGTGTTCCCGGTGTCCCGCACCCATCCCGCCCGTGCTGGGGTGCCGTACTCCCGGTGTCCCGCACCGATCTCGCCCGTGCCGGGCTCCCCGGGGCCCGGTACCTCGGAGCTGCGCCCCCCCGATCACGCACTTCATGGCCGCCCCCCCACTCCCCTCACGGCCGCGGAGGGCGGGAAACGCCCCGGGGCGGGGCGCGCGGAGCCCCGGATGAGGAGTTTCTGTGGGATTACTGCGGAATTGTGGAATTTCTGTGGAATTGTGGAATTACGGAATTGGGGATTGTCCCGAGTTACCCGCAGGGATCTTCAACCCAACCCCCTGGCCCTGCACAGACAGCCCAACAATCCCAGGCTGTTCCTGAGAGCTTCATCCAAACACTCCTGGAGCTCTGGCAGCCTCAGGGCTGTGCCCATTCCCTGGGGAGCCTGGGCAGTGCCCAGAACCTTCCCTGAGCTCCAACCTAAACCCCCTGACACAGCTCCAGCCATTCCCTGGGTCCTGTCCCTGTCCCACAGCAGAGCTCGGAGCTGCCCTGGCAGCACCAGCTCAGGGACAGAGCCGGGAAACGCCCCCGACCCTAAAGAAGGGCCGAACATGGCACTAATTATTAGCACGGGAAGCAAGAGAACCATTACCTATGGAATACTAATTAATAAGACAACTATGTAACTTATAGCCAATGAATAACAATTCTTTCGTTTCCTAAAATGCGTAAATAGTAAAAAGAATTGATACTTGGGGTGCCTGGTTTGTGGGAGACCACGGAGCACCCAGGCTTGCTCAACTCTGAAATAAATAATCACACACTCTCTCTCTCTCTTTGTTGTCATTATCGCTCGTTTTGCGGACAACTCCCATTTCACGTTATAAAAACACAGCCAGAGGAACGCGGCACGGACGCGTTCGGAGCTGTGTTGTCCCTTCGCAGGCGCCGTAGCGGGGGCGGTGCCGGGCGGGTTCCGTGAGGGCCGGAGCGGAGCGGGCGCGATGGTGAGAGCGGGGGGACCCCGGGACCCCCGGAACCCCGGCACCCTCGGGATCCCCGGCACCCCCGGCACCCCCGGCCACACCGGAACTCCCGGCACGGCCACGGCAGCCGGCCCCAGCCGGCCGGGCTGGGGGAGAGCGGGCGGGAGGGCGGTCCCCAGCTGAGGCGAGGCCCCCCAGGGGGGTGAGGGCCGGGCCGTGACTGCAGGAGCTCCTTTTATAATTTGTATTAATTTTGTCGTAATCGCATTAATTTTTAAAAAAATAATTATTTAACGCTTCTTTCATAACATCGACAATTCATTAATTATTATTTGCCCGTTCATTTGGCTGTGTTTTCTCTTCTGTTGCTTCCTCTCGTTTAACATTGATCATGTTCCGCCCTGTTTCTCATCCCCTGCAATCAACTCCTTCATTCCAATCAGGCTGGGCACAGAGTAAGTCACTCCTTGGCTCTAACACCCGTGGTAAGGGCTCGTTCGTGTTCCTCCGTGTCACTGCCAGGTGGCTCAGATGAATTTAGGGGCTGCTGGCCGATCCCCGCCCCAGATCACCCCCAAAAATCCAGGTGTTTTATCATTTTTCGCCGCTGCTTTAAGCTCTAGATGCCTGTGGTGGTTAAACCCTGCGGTGCTGCTCGTTGGGTTTGGTTACTGCAGCTTGCCCAGCTTCTCTGTAACGAATGGGAGCTGGAATGTGGATTTTGGGGAAGTGTGGGGTTGGCATTTTGTCAGCAGAGGGGATGTCTGTGCTGAGAGCACACACTGCTGCCTCGCTGGGCTGTGTGAGTGGCAGGATAATTTTATTAAACATCAAATACATCACTGCTACTGCACATTTAAGTCCCTTAGGGAGCAGTAAGACAATCTGTCTATTGACATTTATTAATCCAAATCACTGTTACACACTTGTTACTCTTCAAAGACCATCAAAAATGTCTTTTTTTTTTTTCCTTTCCTGGTTTCATTTTGTATTGGTCACTCATTGATTAAAAAGCTTTTTTATTGCATTACCAATACTTTTAACCATCTGTCTCCAGATGGTTTTGATGGTGGCACTGAGATGTTCTTAATCTAAAAAAAAAACCAAAAAAAACCCCTAAACCAATCAGAAATACTACCCAAGCTCCCTCTGCCTTCTTGAGGAGTGTTACCTGAAGGTAACTGCATGGCCTAAAAACCTGTGAGGAAAAAAAATCTTTAAAAACACAATTTTCTAGCCTAGTTATATTTGTTTCTAGAAGTAAATCTGGGCTGTGTCCTTTACAAACACATTTGAAGGTGTCATTTTAGGAACTGCCTCACTCACGTGAAGTGGAAGATAAAAATCTTTTTAATTTGGGGCTATTCTTTGAGTTCTTAGGGCTGTCTCCAGATCCAGGGTTTTCCCAGAGCAGTGCCATAACATTCCCTGCTTTATAAAGCTTCTCATGCCCTTTTTGCACAATTAATTTGCCCTGTGTTGCTTGCATTGTTGCTTTATTTGCAGATTTAAAGCCTGTGCTGTTAGGCCATGGCCTTGCATCATCTCAATCCTTAATTTTGTAGCCCCCCACTACATTTTTATTCCGGTATCTGAAACTATAAATGTACACAAGTGGTGACAGGAGCACTGTGCAGTGACCTGGTTGGCTTCTTGTTTGTATTTTGTTATTATTTTTTAGCCTTACTCAGTTTTTCAGTGGTTTCTACCATGAAAACTCTGAACACTCTTTGTCTTCTGGTCAGCTATTAACACATATTACAAATTTGCTGCTTTTTAAAAATATTTTGGGGTTTTTTTTTAAGTAAGGGGAGAGAAGATGGGATGAAGAATTTTTTTTTAAGAGGAGTGGCTGCAGTTTAGCCAGGTCTGTGTGTGAAATGTGTTAGAAAAAACAGTGGGGTGGTTTATGGTAGCCCCCAAATTTGTGTAAAATACATCAGGTGACACAACACGAATGTGTCACCTCGCACTGCTGGCTTTCAGCATCAAACCACCAAGAATTTTACAGACCTGTGTTTGTACAGCCCCCTTTGCTCACAGCCTGGCAAAGCCCCATGGAACAGAATCCCACCACCACTCCATCCTTGCTGCAGCAGTTTGGGTGCCAGTGCCGAGCTGTGGCTCTGCAGGGGACACTGCAGGGGACACTCACTGCAGGGCTGGCTGTCCCTAACCTGTCTGTCCCCTCTCTCCCTGCTGCCCTGAAGTTGGTGCTGGTGCTGGGCGACCTCCACATCCCCCATCGCTGCAACAGCCTCCCGGCCAAGTTCAAAAAGCTGCTGGTGCCTGGCAAGATCCAACACATCCTGTGCACAGGGAACCTCTGCACCAAGGACACCTATGACTACCTCAAGACCCTGGCTGGGGATGTCCATGTTGTCAGAGGGGACTTTGATGAGGTAGGGTCTGGTTTTTTTGGGGTATCTTTTACGTTTTTTACATTTGGAGTTCGTTCAAGTAAAAGTGGTGGAATGAGTTCCTGAGTTCTCCCCTTCTGGGTGTTGGAATAGGGTTGGGTTTGAATATAAATCTCTCTAATCTGGGTTTGTTTTCTTTATTTTTAGAACCTGAATTATCCCGAGCAGAAAGTTGTGACTGTTGGACAGTTCAAAATTGGGCTGATTCACGGCCACCAGGTGATCCCCTGGGGTGACATGGCCAGCCTGGCACTGCTCCAGAGGCAGTTTGATGTGGACATCCTCATTTCAGGACACACACACAAATTTGAGGCATTTGAACACGAAAATAAATTCTATATCAACCCAGGATCAGCTACAGGAGCCTACCATGCCTTAGAGAAGTAAGTGATTATTGGGGGGATTTTTTTGGTTTTTTGTTTTGTTTTGTTTTGTTTTTGTAACAAAACTGACTACAAACTCTTAAGAGTTAATATTTAAATATCAGGGAGAGGACAGTTAGAGTTGTATAACTTACACAGCTGTACTTGCTCAATCTCCTGGACTGAAACATGAAATGCTTACAGCCTCAGATCTCATGTGTTGTACTTATAGAATTAATTCCCATTTTTCTTGACGTGATTTTCTGCTGAATAGGGGTAAAACACTAAGGGGGTTATAGACACACAATCACTATGAATTTTTTCCTCTCTTTCCAGCAACATCATTCCTTCATTTGTGCTGATGGACATCCAGGCTTCTACAGTAGTTACATATGTCTATCAACTAATTGGAGATGATGTGAAGGTAGAAAGAATCGAGTACAAGAAATCCTAAAAAATGTTTTTGCTTGTCTGGTATTTTTACCATCTCCTTCTGAACTGCAAGTTCCAAAACTTGATTGCTCGTTTACAGCCCTGCACTGTTGCTAACAGCTTAACAATGTAACTTCTTGTCATGAATTTAAACAACCTTGTGTTTGCTTTTCTCTGTATGATTTGTAAAATATTCCATTAAGATAACTGTCTAAATGCTGTTCCTTTATGTTGTAATAAACTCCACTTCATAGAAAACCTGAGCTTGGGGAGGTGCTGTTGGGGAAGAATGCAGCAGTTGTGGTGGTTTGGTGTTCCCTTCTAAGGGATGTTTGTAGAGGCCTTGAACAGAGATTGAGGGTTCTGGGACCAGGCTGATATTTAATTGTCTCAATTTAACATTCTCAGCTAAGTTCAAGGAGTAAAATGGCTTGACAGGCTCTGAAAGGATTACAATTACCTCATAATTTAACTGTGGAAAGTCTGAGTCTTTCTCTGATCAAAGCACTTCCAAATCTCCACGTGCTTTCATGAACGATGATCTCATTAAATCTATAACCAGTGAGGAGAGGCTTTCCTTTATTTGTGGCTCACATCTGACACTCCATTTTTTGTGCTCTTTGCTCCATGCACAGAGGCTCTCAGTGATGTAATTCCAGGTGACTCTTAAAGCTGCTGAAGATAAATCTGGCTTGTTCAAGGAACAGCACCTTGTGGCTCCTCTGTTCCCACAGCTGCAGGGACCTGAATGTATTTAACAGCTTCCCTTTCTCACAACTGCTGTAACTTTCCAACAAAACAGATTTTTATCTTTTGTCTCCCACAACAGAGTGTTTAGGATGGGGGCAGTTTCCTTGGCCTTTGGATTATGACTTTTCTATCAGCTAGAACCCTTCTTTCTGTGTCATGAGCTGACTAAATTACTCATTTCTATTCAAAATAAACCTGCTTTGCCCTGGACAAAAAGACATTTCAGGCTGGTGTCTCAAGAACCTCTGGCTAATTGCACTTCATGCAGTCAGAGCAAAGCTGAAAAGAAAACCTTGGCACGTGATATTCAGGGAATTCCATTGACTGGAACATCAATTTATTGACAAACTCATAATGAAGAGGTTTGTAGAATATTGTAAGGAGCCAAAATAGATGCAAATATGTTTATTTCTTTTTAATTTAGATTGTAAGGCCAAAATTGACACACAAGTTTATTTATTTTTACTGTAAGGCCAAAATTGATATGCAAGTTTGCAAAGTTACACTTAACATTTGTCTACAAAGTATTTTACATGAACCACAGACCCTGCAGTTTTATAAAAGTTTATCACAGTGATGACAAAGGTTCTGTTGCTGTGGATGACATCTCACATGTGGTCCTGACAGCAGGCCTGAACATGGGGAAATACAGAAGTAAAGGAAATAAACTTTACTCCTTCCCAAAGTTAAAGTGCTGAGTATGAACTGATGACTACAAACAGGAAATTCTGCTGTGAGTCAGAACTGTTTTTGTGGGGGAGGAGAATGGAGCAGAAGCAGCCGAGAACAGCTGAAAAAACGTGGAGAGGTTGTGGATGCTCTTGGAAAAAGCTTTGGGGTTTTAGTCTGATGTTCTGAGCAGTACAAGAGTTGTGAATGCACAGCCCCCCCTCCTGCCAGGAGAGGGAAGAGGAAAAAGAGGAAATCTCGAGCTAATTTATGGCACTTCCAGGACTCAGGACCCCTCTGATTCATTCAGGTACATCTGGAAGGTCAAAGAACAACATTAGTAGGGCTTAGGAAAATGGGATGTGATCCAGGACACAGATCTGGTTCAGGTAAAATGTATTATTTGAATTAATTAAGGGATATTTTATTATATACAACACATGTTACAAAAGTGTATCAGCTAAAAAATATTTTTGCAGGAAGTTGGGTGAAAGCCTTCAGAGAAAAAGGAGAAAATACTGCCTGAGGTACAGAGATGGTTTGTTTTACCTGCAGAAGATGAGATGCTGGGACATCTGCCAGAGCAGGGTTTCCACATTTCTTCTGATACTCTTGAATCAGGGCTGTTGCATCATCAAGGCTGTAAGAGGTAAAAGGTGATCAACCTTGTCAAATGAAGCTCTTTAAAAAGCCAGTAATTTAGACAACAGAAGTAGAAAACAAAGTATGATCCCATAGCTTTGAAGTCAGAGATGGCCCTGTAATTTCCCAGTAGAGAAAACAGGCTTGTTTTTTTCCTTGGGGCTGTTAATAACACCACTAAATACAGAATATAAATGTTTCTTGGTTCCTGCCCCAGTGTGAGTGTGGGATCAGTGGTAGCAGTGCCCTGCAATCCCCAGGGTTTGCACTCTGAGTGTGCCCAGGTGCTGTGAATCCCCAGGTGAGGGGCCCAACCCACCCCCCTTTGTGATTTAAGTGGGGCACAAGAAGGGCTTTTTTTTGTTTGTTTGTTTGCTGAAGCTGTGACTCTGTGATGCCCCTGAGCTGGATTCACCTAAAGGTAAGGTCAAGGTTTTGATTATTTCACTCTGGTTGCTTCTATTTTAACTCCATTTGATCTGCTGCTAGTCCAGGCTTAACAATCTCTTACTTGGTCTTGAATGCCTGTAAAACTCTGTCCTAGTGAGGTGAAATTTATTGCTTTATTAACTTAGCAATACCTAAAAATCTTCGGAGACTAAGTATTAGAAAACTTCCATAACATCAAACAAGGGAAAATTAAATAAAGCTGAGATTTAATTCTTGCAATTGCTACCAGTTACACTTGTTTTTTTACCATTTATTAACTTACCAGTTGTTTTTGGCAAAATAATTCACCAGCTCTTTTATTCTGTGGGTGTTTATCAGGTGTTGCTTTAACAGTGGATAATATTTGGTTTTCCAGAACTGATCATAGAGCTTCTCATTGATGATACTGTCCAAAATCAAAGATCTGATCTGTAGATTTAAGTTTTAATAATGAAAAGTGTTAATATTTTAGACAAAAGAGATTTTACTTTTGAATGGAAAGAGCTCATAGTTTTCATATTGGGTTCTATAAAGAAAATGGGTTTTTTTTACATTTTATTTAAGTGCTGTGAAATGGCAGATTTTATGAAAACTGATCCCAAATTCAGAGAGGGAAGTGACTTGAACTTGCCCATAGGGAGGCAGCTAAAGGCAAGGCAAAAGTGCAGTTTCCTAAACCCTTTGGCCTTTTAGCCTCAAATATTTATTTAGAAAAAACAAGGTGGTTCTGCATTTTAAAAATATTCTACATTTTTTCAGCGTTTAAAGTTAAGTAAGGCTGGACAAGATCAGAGGGGAGAGAAAAGAAGGTGCTGTGAACACTTACCTATCAAAAAAGCCTCCAAGTCAAAGGGAAGCGAAGTAAATTTTATATATTTACCTGGGAAGCAAATGCTACCAGTTCTCCAGTGTCTATGTGTTCATCCAATTGTTGCAGCACAGTTTCTTTCTTACAGGTTGATAACAAACCCTTGTGAAAATAAGTTACAAAACATTATTATTCAGTGATTGATTAAAGCAGGAACACTCCCTTCAGAACAAATACTTGATTTATTCAGAAATCTTTTGAAATTTTAGGTGCAAACACAGAATTATCAAACCAGGATCTGTGTGCTTGGACTGAAAGTGTTGCTTTTAACTCTCTCAAATGGTGTTTTGCTGTAGCTGTCAGAGGATTTTTTGACTCACTGCCAGCAGGGTGAGTGTCTTACACTTAAGCTGTGACTTGGGGAAACCTTTCTGAGATGAGCTTTAATGACTGGAAATCTAAGAATTTCAGGTGCCTTTACTGGTCCCAGTTTGCTTGTGGCAAATATGGGAACAGCCTCTAATGTTTCATCTGGGAGAACAATGCAGAACAGAAATTAATGGAAACAAATCAGAAGAGCAGGGAAAATGTCAAGGTTCCTGGCTGGTGAGGACATGGCTTTAAGGCAGAAGGTTTCTATCAGAACTGGTGCATATCAAACATCTTCCTTGGAAGTCAGGAGCTTTCAACTCAACACCCTTCCAAAGTAGGATTCAGTACTTGTCTTACAATCTGCCCTGGCTTGGGTTTTACTGTTTCTGGGTTTTTTTTTTTGGTTCTTTTTTTTTTTTTTGTGGTTTTTTTTTCCCCCATGTGCTTTATGGGTGGGATCTCATAAAACATCCTCAAGTTCTCTAAAGGCAATGTCAGATGACAAAGCTACTGGGGATGACTGAAGTTTTAAAAGAAAAAGGAGGAAGTGTTCACATGATCCCTTTAGAAGCCTTTGAGGGTGGCAGATGTTGAGCATTTATCAGCAGGGATGTGTTGAAGTTAACTGGAATTCACCTTTGACCTGCTCTGGTGAGCAGCACACACTTAAGGACATTTCCCCTGAAGAGACAGAACACAAAACTTCTGATTTACCTGTATTTGCTGCTCTCTCTTCTCAGAGTGAGGAATGACCAAGAGACACCCCAGGGCAAAAGCTGGGAGGTCCAGCTGGGTGTATTGTTTACCAAGTCCAACAATATCCAGGTCAGCCAGGACAGGACACCTTCAGGAGATCAGGAGGGAAGTTCTCAGTTGTGACTTGTTTAACTGGATGTCTCAGTGCTGTCAGCAAAACTGCCCTGAGATTTGGAAGTCAGGTAGGGCAACACATTTCTACCTCACATTAGTTCCACAAATGGCCAAGCAAATTGAAGTTTCACTGAATACAAACCCATGAGGATTTCTAAAACCCCAAATCACACCTCCAGTTTCTCTTTCTAAGCAGCCTATTTTGAGGGCAATTGTTGGCCACCTGCCCAGAGTAGAGCTTTGGCAGATGTAGAATCTGAGCATTGTGGTGAGTGAAATAAGGAAACCATGTGCTTTTTGCACTGCAAAGGCAATGCAAGTGTGGTTCGTGCACAGGATGTTGAGGAGCAGGGCAGGGCTCTGAACTCACCTGAGCAGGAGCACAAAGCACTCCTGGCACTCCTGCAGCTGCCCAGGACTTGGTGGACATGAGGCTGAGAAAGAAAGGAAGAGAACAAGGTGTAGTAAATCTACAACCAAGTTACTCCAGGAGCAGGACAGGGAGTACAGCCCTACCTGTGAGGAAGGGGGACAGGACCACGCTGCGCCAGGCTCGGCTGAAGCTGGGAATCTGGCGGCAACAAAGTTTATTTTCAAGTTACAGCCAAAACCAGGTGTAACCATGTATTATAAACACCCACATCCCAACCCACTGCCCCTGGAGGAAGCCTGTCAATATTCCTTTTTATTTTATTCCCTAACATTGCTTTCCTTAGCTCAGAGTCCAAGATTAAGGAATATTTCGATTGATTTTGTCCAGTGTTCACTGATATATTGCACTGTCATAGAAATAATAGACATTAAAAATAATCTTTTCATGGCTGACACACAAAAACTCCAAATTCCTGTTAAGTGAAGAGAAACATGAGGAGCCAGACAGTTATTTACTTACCTCCCATAAAGAAGGAATCCCAGTAATTGCAATCAAAACTCTTCTTAGATACTGAATCTGGAAGAAAACAAAATTCAAGTCCTTTGGTGTTCCTGAATATTTGCTAATAATCTACAGAACTGCATTTAGCTTGGTTTGTTTGCAGGATGCAAACTTAGAATTTCTCAAGGTTCCTGTGTTCCTTTGACACCCATGGAAATTAGCTTTGTAGTTTAGTAAATTTAATTATCAATCACACTGTCAAGTACATGTTACTTCCTTAGGCTGTAACAACTTTACATAATGTTTGACAGTCACAGGCAATTAGGATTCTGAATGGCAACAATCAGGATTTCCATCATCATAAATACATTTTAGGGCTTGTGTATATATGTACACACACGGAAATACCTGTATGCACAGTTTGAATATATTTGCACACAAGAATGTGCCTATTATGTAATAAATTGATAATAATATGAAGGAAAATTTCCATTTATTATTATAGGATTTATTCTGAAAGGATTTTTAAAAGCTCAAAGTATAACA